TAGATTCAACGAGACAACAAATTGATAACGATACCCGGGACTGGAACTAAGATCCAGAACAAATAAACTCAATAGAGCTCTCCATGTTAAACACACAAAATATATATTATCCACAAAATCTAACGATATATCTGATGATATACAAAGACTCAAAACAAGGGGATGGAAAAAAACTCACCAACCAAATGGAGAGCAAAAATAAATAAATAAAAAGCAGCAGTTGCAATTCTCACACTTAATAAAATAGATTTCAAAGCTACAAGGATGCAAGGGTAAAAGGATTAATGTAACAATAAGAGATCTTAACACCCAGATACATAAGACACATAATGAGATTTAGATTCAACGAGACAACAAATTGATAACGATATCCAGGACTTGAACTCAGAGCCAGAACAAATAAACACAATAGAGGTCCCCATTTTAAACACATAAAATATGCATTAACCACTTTAAACACTCAAAATATTGATCGGCCATTATTGAAACCCATTTTAGGAATGAAGTAATATTCCTTTTTCCCTCTTTTTCTTTTTTTCCCCTTCTTTTTCTCTTTTTCCCTAGAAAAAAATAAAAATAAAAATAAAAGAGAGACATCTTAAAAGCAACCAGAGGAAAAAAGACTGATTACCTCCAAAGAAGAAGCAATAAGATTGTGGCTAACTTGTCAGAGACAATGGAAAACAGAAAAAAGGATAATGATATATTTGCATATATGTAAAATATATAAGGGAAACAGTTACCAACCTAAGATATTATACCTAGCAAAACTACTCTTCATGATTAAGATGAAATAAAGACATTTCCAGACAAATAAAAACTGAGAGAATTTATCACCAACATTCCTGCCCTAGAGAATATCAGAGGATATTCTTTAACTAGAAGGAAAACGATCCTAGGAGGAAGCTCAGTGACACAGCAAGTAAAGGCAGAGCAATTAAGTGGTGACTATATGGGTAAATCTAAACCCCATCTCTACTAAAAATATAAAAATTAGCCTGGCGTTGTGGCAAGTGCCAATAGCGCATAGTCCCAGTTACTCAGGAGGCTGAGGCAGGAGAATCACTGGAACCAGGGAAGCAGAGGTTGCAGTGAGTGAGCCAAGATCATCATGCCACTGCACTCCAGTCTGGGTGACAGAGTAAGAGTCTATCTCAAAAAAATAAAAATGAAATGAAATAAATTACACAACAGTGGCATATAGATTGGTACAGGGAAAATGGAAGTTCTAAGGTCATTGCATTGTCTGAAAAGTGCCCATTGATATTAAACTTTGGTAAGCTAAAGATTCATGTTGTAAGCTGGGTGTGGTGGCTTATGCTACATCCAGCATTTTGGGAGGCTGCATTGGGAGTATTGCCTGAGGTCAGGAGTTTGAGACCAACCTGACCGACATGATGAAACCTCATCTCTTTTAAAAATACAAAAAAATTAGCCAGGCATGGTGGCAGGCACCTGTAATCCCAGCTACTTGGGAGGCTGAGACAGGAGAATCACTTGAATCCAGGAGGTGTAGGTTGCAGTGAGCCAAGACCAGGCCATTGCACTCCAGCATGGGCAACAAGAGCAAAATTCCATCTCAAACAAACAAACAAAAATTCATGTGGTAATCTATTGAGTAACCACCAAAAGCAGTGAAGGATTGCATAATAGTTAAGCTAATAGAGGGAGGAAAACAGAATATTTTTTAATACTTAACTAAAAAGAAGCCACAAAAGGAAAGAAAAAGAGAAATGGGGATAGGATAGATAAGACAAACAGAAATTATTTAGTAAGATGATGTAGGGTCCAGCCCTACAGGGTTCTGTGAGCCCCTCTCTGCTTATGCAGAGAAGAGAAATTGTAAAAATGAAAGACACAAGACACAGAGATAGACAAAAGAGAGTCTGGGCCCAGGGGTCCACTGCTATCCAAATCACGGAGACCAGCAGTGGCCCCAATGTCAAATGTCAGGACGCTCTCACTTTTATTGAGTTGCAAATCTGGGGGCAGAGTAGATAGGGCATGGCAGTGATAGGGTCAAGGACATCACTGGTCATTCAGGTAGGGGATCAGGAATTTCTGGCACCCAAAGTGAGGTAAGGAGCATAATGCATCAGCACCTTTTCCATACTTATCAAGAAAGAACTAAAACATTAAGATTTGTATTACTATTACTGATTAGCTTTTCTAAGATAATCAGGAAGCAGCTGCAGAAGCGGAGCATGAGAGTAGACATGGAACATGACCGCTGAAGCACAGCATCACATAGAGACAGTTAAGCCCCTGGATGTCTGTGGGTCTACCTGACAGCCATCAGGCCTTACCACAAGAGCTTGGAGAAGCAGAGTTTTCTCCTGACTTCCCCAGGAAGGAGATGTCTCGGCCACTTTGGACATCTCCCCCCCTAGCTGGCTAAACAGCAGGCACTTTCCCAGTGCTGGCACTGCCGCACAGCCGAGGCACCCTCCAGCAGCCCTTATGTGGGCATGACAGAGGGCTTAAAGCATCTTGCCTTAGTGTCATTCATTTCACAATGTCACCCAGGTTCACACTTCCAATCTGAGAGGCATTAGTAAAAGAATTAAGATCACCTATAAATAACTAAGATCACATGTGAATAACCGATAACTACTGCAGTTATATTTCTAGTTACTTTCATCTTCATTATTTATATTGGAAATAGACTGAGGCCTTTTGCTCCTGCCTCAGCACTTATGGATCTCCCCACTACAAGATGATATATTTAAACCGAAATATAGTAGTAATTTCATTAAAGATAAATTAACTAAATCCTCCAATTAAAAGATAAAGACTGTCAGAATGGTAGGTGCAAAACAAAACCCAAATATATGCTGTTTACAGGAGATGTCTAAAACATAAGTGTATAGAGAGGTTCAACATGAGTGAACGGAAAAAATAAAAGACACACCATGCAAACTGTCTAATAGAAAACTGGAATATTCATGTTGGACATAGTATACTTTAAGGCAAAAAGAATTATTAGAGCTGAGGAAGGACACTTTGTTATGATAAAAGACTCAATTTACTAGGCAAATAAAATAATTCTAAATTTGAATGTACCCAATAATATAACCTCAAAATATATAAAATCAAAAACTGATAAACTACAAGGAGAAATAGGCAAATTCACAACCACAGTGGAAGATTTTAACATACCTCTTTCAATAACTGATAGGGAAAAAAATGTGCAAGGATAGAGATTTGAACCCTCCAGTTAGCACACTGGAGGCCTACCCAGTGGCCATCCGTAGACCCCTTTACCTCACAGCTGCACAGACATCCAGCAGAGGTGACACACAAGGCTGTGTAGCAGGGAGGACAGGTGGAGTCAAGGCTAATTCCCAGGTTCTGGACTCGGGCCCCCAGAACCATGATGATGCCGTAACTAGTTCTTTTATTCTGCCCCAAATGATTCACTACGTGCTAGGAAAGAAAACGCTGAGGTAGGTGCCATCAGCTGAGAGTTGAGAAGCAGAATGCAAAAACTTTGTTACAATTTATTGTCTTATGTGATAGGCACTATGCTAAATGCTTTATTTTATTTTATTTTATTTAAGACAGAGTCTTGCTGTTGCCCAGGCTGGAGTGCAGTGGCATGATCTCAGCTTACTGCAATCTCCGCCTCCCATGTTCAAGCGATTCTCCTGCCTCAGCCTCCCTAGTAGCTGAGATTACGTGCACATGCCACCATGCCCAGATAATTTTGTATTTCTTGTAGAGACAGGGTTTCCCCAGGCTAGTCTTGAACTCCTGACTTCAGGGGATCCGCCCACCTACGCCTCCCAAAGTGCTGGGATTACAGGTGTAAGCCATCTGGCCAGTACTTTAATTAGCACTAATTATCACTACAACCTTTTAATGCAGTTCTTATCTCCATTGTATAGATAGGGAAATGGAGGCTCAGAGAGGTAAAATAAGTTGAATAGGATGCTATCACTGTCCTCAAAAGATCATAGAAGTTTCTAGAAGGGAAAACAAGTACACAATCATATAATGGAGAGATGAGGATAGGGAGTATGAGCTGAGAACAGGAAGCTTTCAGTCTCCCAGGCAAAGCCCTGGGGTCCCAGCTAGGTGAGCCAGGCCCTGAGAGGAGGGCGAGGGGAATTTATAGTCCATAAGAGTTGGAATTTGGCTGGGCACCACAGCTCACGCCTGTAACCCGAGCACTTTGGGAGGCCGAGGTGGGCAGATCACTTCAGGTCAGGAGTTCGAGACCAGCCCGGCCAACATAGTGAAACCCCATCTCTACTAAAAATTAAAAAATGAAGAAATTAATCAGCTGGGCGTGGTGGCCAGTGCCTGTAGTCCCAGCTACTTGGGAGGCTGAAGCACGAGAATCGCTTGAACCCCAGGAGGCAAAAGGAGGCAGAGGTTGCAGTGAGCTAAGATCAGGCCACTGCACTCCAGCCTGGGTGACAGAGTGAGACTCTGTGTCAAAAAAAAAAGTTAGAATCCACCTAGGATGGATTTCCTAGTCACTTCTAAGGTAGATTTTCTTCCAGAAAGTACCCAGCCAGCACTTCAAGGCCTGTGCCCCAGGCTCATGCCAGTAAACAGGTTGTGGTCCCAGCTTCAAGAAACTCACAGGCCAAGAAAGGGAAAGTGCCAGGTGCAGTGTTTTTTCCCCCCAAATACAGGCTTATAGTTAGTAAGGGGGTGGGGGTCAGGGGTTAAGGTCAGAGGAATCAAGATGAATTCCTCATGGGTTCTGTTTCTCTTTTGCCTATGCTACCTCCTTGTTCTGGCAAAACAGTTATGAAGCTGGCTGCTCCAAGGACCTCCATTTCAGATACTTTGTTACAATTCCAAAATGGTCATTTTCTCCTCCCATGTGTTTACCGTGCAGGAGGACCCTCCCCCTCTAAGCCACAGCTCAAGGGTGCCACCTCCAGGAAGCTCTCCCAGATTGACCTGCCTCCCTCTCCCAACTGTCATTTTTCCGAAAGGCTGTGCTCCTGCTTTCTCTCAACTGATGAGGCCTTCTCCCTGCTCAGTTCCAGGTCCCCCTGCTGGCATCAAAGCTGTCCCTTCATCAGCTAGCAGTGTGGTTGTGTCTTGGCTCCCCCCTACCAAGCCCAACGGGGTGATCCGCAAGTACACCATCTTCTGCTCCAGCCCCGGGTCTGGCCAGCCGGTAAGTGAGTTCAGGGCCAAACGATGAAGGGGATGGAAGAAAAGAAAAGGGACCTTAGATCAGCTGACTTCCAGGCCAAACCCTGAGGCTGCCTGTATCTGAGCTTCTGCCTGGATTCATAGATAAGAATAGGGTCTGGCCACCCAAAGTGGCCGAAGCCTTACTCAGTGTCCATCTTGGGTCCGTCCTCTGTTCCAGAGGCCGTAAGAGTGTCACAAGAACTGGAGGCTCCTTTGAGCCCGGTGGGTCATCCCCAAGCAGGCAGGGTGCAGGGAGGCCAGCCTCAGCTCTCCGGCTGGCAGAGGAGGCTCAGAGCAGGTCCTCAGGCTGGTCTGTGGCCTCTGGGAATGAATCGCATTTCAACGCGGTAGGTCTGGGCTTGGAGGCGCTGTCAGAGCTCTGCCCTGCGTGAGTGCCTCTACAGGGAGCAAGCTGAGGGAGAGGAAAGACGTGGGAAAGCTAAGAGAAGACACAGGCATCTCTGGGCCAGGGCCTAGTCTCAGGCGAGAGGAGCAGACCGAGAGACTGCAATATCTGCCCTAACCCTGGGAGCAGAGGGGGCAGCCCCCAGGCCAGACATAGGGCAGGGGGCTAGCCTGGCCCCTCCACTGAAGCTCAGAGGGGCCCCACAGAGAGAGAAGGTAGGATGGAGATGGGAGCAATGGGATATACACCTACATCCCATCATATGCATCCTTCCCCCTGCCTCTTTCATCGTCTCCAGCCAGTCAACCACGAAGTCCTGCTGTGTGACTACAGTGTGCCTGTTCTAGGTACGGGAGCAGGAGCAGATACCTGCCCTCAAGGGGCTTCCAGTCTGGTGGAGGTGGGTGGCAGAGGGGAGCACACTAGAGGGCCAGGAGTACTGTCAGGAAGATGTGCTCAGGGCTGGGGGAGCAAGGAGCAGAAGAAGCAGGAGCAGGAGGCCCACTCCTCCCTCCATCAACAACTGGGCATCAGCCTGAACATCTGCACATGAGCTTTTGGCTGCCAGGAAACCTGCCCTGAAATTGCTCAGTAATTGGGTCATCATCTCCTCCTATGCTCTCTGCTTTCTTGTGGTCTTTCTGAATCACCCTCTGAGGGGTAGCTGGCCCAGCTCCCGCCAGTGAGGCCAGAGTTCTATTACCAGAGGGGAAGCCCCGTGACTGCGGCCCCTCCTCTCCATCCTCACGGCCACTACCTCACATGCAGCAAAGTGCACACACGTCATCACTATACACCTCTGCGAATTTTCACAACCCACCCAGTAAGCAGCATCCAGAGCACAGAACAGGACATTACAACACCCTGGACCTCCATGCCCCCTTCCTGCCCCTCCTCCTGGGTAACGATCGCCCTGACTTCAATAGCATAGATAAGTGGTGCTTTTTGCACTTTGTACAAATGGAGTCATACCATTTGTCCAGCTTCTCCTACCCAACATTATTCTGAATTCCTGAACTGAATTCACATTGTCGTGTGTGGCTATAGCTCATTCATTCTTCTGTATAGTTTCTGAGTGCATATGTTACAATTGTTAAACCATTGTGCTGGCCACTAGTATCTATTGATGGAAGGAAGGCTTTGGGGCACTTTTCAGTTTGGAATTCTTCCAATGGTGCTACTGTGAACATTCCTGTATGTGTCTCTGGGTGCTCATGGGCATGGATCTCTGTCAGGTGTGCACCTAGGAAAGGAATCACTAGGTCACAGGCTCTGCAGGTGTTCACTGAGAACAGCCCGCCATTGTTGGGTGCCCACGCCCATCACACCCTCGCTCATGAGGGATGAGAGTGCCAGTGACTCCACATCAGCACAGACTTGGTGTTTTTCAGGCAAGCTTTCAGCCATGTGTCCTGCTCTGTTTTCTCCTCTCCCCCCGGCTCTGCCCCCAGCACACACACGCACACATTCTAGGCTCTCAGGATACTGAGCTAGTCACAATTCTGGGCACCACTGCACCTCTTCACACCTCTGCACCCTTGCCCCATGGATTCCTCCCGTGGCATGCTCCTCACTCCCGTCAGACACTGAATGCATTTGAAGGCAGTTCACTGTTCACATATCTGTCTCCCTCCCTGGTCTCTGAGTACCCCATGAAGACAGGGGCAGCATCTTTTCATCTTTGGGTCCCCAGTGGCTGAGCACTGTGCCTGGTCCATCCAGGTCCCAGAATACCTGTTTGATGAATGAATCAGTAGCTGCCTGGCAATGCTGTAGCCTCTGATATTGGGCAAGCTTCCTTTCCTTAATTGATGGGAGAGGATAGTCATTCTCTAGCTTGGACTTTCGCATTTATTTTCTCCTCTGATAACAAAGTTTTTCCAAGGGCTTGGTGTCCGGGAGCCTCACCTCCTCATTAACTCAGGCTTCAGGGATCCTCTCCTGGGCTCCAGAACAGAGCCCCTGGTCCCCATCCCCTCCTCCTGCTGCAGGAGACATTGGGAACCTCCCTCCATCCTCTTCATGTCTTGCGATTTCCCATCAGACTATCACACAAGGCCTGCTGATGTGATGAGAACTTCATTTCTGTAAGGGGACTGGGGTCAAAAGTTGGGGGGGAAACTGAGGGATCTGGGGACCTGGGGACCTAACCACTGTGTGTGACATTATCACTTTGCACAAATATATTCCAAATTCCAAACAATTTCAATACAAACTCATTTATGAAAGACAGCTCCAGGAGAGATGCTAGGGGTGAGGGCACACTTGCGTATCAGTGACAGTGCAAAACCGTGGCATGAGCCTGGTGTTACAGGGAGATGTCTGAGACTGTGCGTGCTCACACATGCTGGTGAGAGCAGATGACCCAGTACATGTGGAAGCCTCAGGAAAGAGTGTGTGTAGCCTTGGCTACAGGTCAGTTACACCCTGGGGACTGCATTGAACCCCGACAGAAATTTTACTAATAATGTAATACATCTTTCACTGATTATAAAAATAATGCAATTTTATCATAGAAAATCTATAAAACATATAAAAGAATAAAGAGGAAAGTAAAAATTACTTGTACTCTTACTCCCTACAGATAAAGACTGGTGATGTTTTGGTATATAATCTTTCAATCTTTGACCTGTACATATAGTACAGGTTTTGAGGGGTTTTATTAGACTAAATTAAAATAATATTATACATGTTATGTAATCTGCCTTCTTCATGTAAAACCTGTTGGTGCTTTCCCACACCATCAGATATTCTTCTAAAACATTTTTTCAGGTGTGTGTGACAGAGCCCTACTCTGTCACCCAGGCTTGAGTGCAGTGGCACCATCTCAGCTCACTGTAACCTCCACCTCCCAGGTTCAAGTGATTTTCCTGCCTCAGCCCCCCAAGCAGCTGAGATTACAGGCACACATCACCACGGCCAGCTAATTTTTGTATTTTTGTAGAGACAGGGTTGCACCATGTTGGCCAGGCTGGTCTCGAACTCCTGACTCTAAGTAACCGCCTGCCTCAGTCTCCCAAAGTGCTGGGACTATAGGCATGAGCCACCACACCTGGCCTAAAATACAATCTTGAATTGCTGCTTATACAGAATCTATTTAACCAGTCTCCCATTATTCTATATTTAATGTGTCTTTCAAATTTTCACCATTGTAAATTATGCCTCAATGAACATCCTTCACAGAAATCTTTATGCACTTATTTTAATAGTTTCTTAGGGTAAATTTCTACAGGAATTCCTAGGTCACAAAGAGTGTAAATATTCGTAAAGTTCTGCATACAGATTTACAAATTGCCCTTCAGAGTGTTTACACCCATGTGTGTTTCCACCAGCATGGTGAATGACCAGCAGCACTGCCCTTTGCACCTATGCTGATCCCACATTTGTTTTCTGTTTTGTTCTGCTTTATTTTTGTTAGATGAATTTTTTTTATACATGTGCCTTATTTTAAAGGTTTTATGTTTATTAGCTACATTTTTCTTCTTTGGGTAATTGTCAGTTTACATCCTTTGTCCAGTTTTCTATTTGTGTTTCTCATGTTTTTCTTATTGATTTATAAGTGTTCTTTACATATTAAGGATAATAGCCATTTTCTGTCATGTAAGTTGCAAGTATCTGCCAATTCATTGCTTGCCTCTTGATTCTGGATTTTGGTTTTTTGTTTTGTTTTTGATTTTTGTTTTGTTTTGTTTTGTTTTTTGAGACAGTTTCACTCTTATTGCCCAGGCTGGAGTGCAGTGTGGCACCATCTCAGATCACTGCAAACTCTACCTCACAGGTTCAAGCAATTCTCCTGCCTCAGCCTCCCAAGTAGCGGGGATTACAGGCATGCTAATTTTGCATTTTTAGTAGAGACAGGATTTCACCATGTTAGTCAGGCTGCTCTTGAACTCCTGATGTCAGGTGATCCACCTGCCTCGGCCTCTCACAGTGTTGGGATTATAGGTGTGAGCCACCACACCCGGCCTTTGATTCTGTTTTTGATGTACAATAGTTCTTCTTTTTACAGAAGCTGAACTTACCAATCATTTCCATTTATGATTTTGCCATTATTTTTAGGATTAGAAAAATGGATAAATATTTACCTATATAGTTTCTTCTTTCAGAGGTTGCCTTTTTTCAAAAACCTTTGACCCACTGGAACTTTATTTGGGGATATGGCTGTGTGCTTTTGAACATGATTTCAGGAGACACATGGGTGTCCAGATTAAAAGGAAAGCACCCAGGATCTGGGTTGGACGCTAATACCTACAAGGAGAAGCCAAACCTTCTTGCCCTGTCTGTGTAGGCACAAATATACACTCAGGTACACTCAGCTGCTCTCCACACATGCACACATACATACAAACACATACATTCCTGTACTGTCACCAAAAATGAGCCCGGAGAAGAACATGTCCTAGTTTACAAAGGTCGTGCATGTCCCTGCCTCTTTGCGCCTCAGTCACACACAGGTTGGGCAGAGCTGTATGGCTTCCCTAGTTTTCAGGAGACAAAACTGAGCGTCCAGAAACCCTGGGGAACCTTATGGGTTGTACACCCAGGAAGAAGGGCAGGCGGGTGCTGAAGCCACTACACCACCCCACACTTCACACATTTATCAACTACAGATACGCACACCAGTCTAGAGTGCTGTGGCCTGAAAGGGCTTTCCAACCACCTCAAGCATTGCTCTGTACCTGCCCACCCCCTGGACATCCTGGATTCAAGGCCAGACCCCCACCAGGGAGGCAAGAGTATGCCAGGAAGCTCCGTGTGTGTTACAGAGATGCCTGTGCCTTTTCCCCTAACATTTCCCTACAGATGGATGGCCTGGGGCCAAAAGGAGGTCTCCTCCTGTTATAAGTCATTGGGCCTCTCAGGCCATTCATGCCCTCCCATGGGCATGAAGAATGTCCCTCTGTGCCCCACACCTGCCTGGAGCTTTGCTCCTCAGCACATGTGTGCACACATCTACATGTGTGTGCGCCTGTGAGCCTGTGAGTGCAAGATCCCGTGACTGCAGAGATAACTAATTATTAGCTCCCTCTGGCCTCGGGCCCCCCAATCTGTTCTGGGGCTGCTCCCCTCTCCCTGGACTTCCGCTCTGATTTCAAAGGGGCCCTGGTGCTGTCCTTCTCTCCCTTCCCCGCGGCTGACCAGAAAATAAAATAAAATGAAAGTCAGTCCCATCCCGCCTGTGCCAGGGAAGAGGCTGACAGGAGGTCTGCAAACTAGCGCTTATCAAAAGCTCCTTCTCAAATTCATTTCAATATCTGAGCCTCTGGTTTCCAAGGCAACATAATCTTTTCATCAAAGCAACTGGTAAAACCACTGGGATCCGATATTGTTTTGTTGGCAACTTGTCAAAACTGTCATTTTGTTTAAAAAAAATTTATAGATTTATATAACCTACAAATATATATGCTGATCTATACCACTAATAATCATTAATAAAGTGCTGCCCAGGAGAGCTTTCACAGTTCGTTCTGCAGCCCCCTCCTCCCCGGGCCAGCAGGAGTGCTGCCTGCAAAATGCAGGAGTGGTAATTAGACAGCAGGGTTAGGAAGTGACCGGGAGCCAGGGCAGGCTGCAGGAGCCTGTCCCCAACCCTCATCAGGCAGAGGCAGTCAACTAGCTTCTTTCTGAAGACTCTTTCTTGTTTTCCTGGGACCCCCTGTCCCCCATTCTCCCTTCTCCTGACTACCCCATCTCTCACCTAAAGCATTCACATCCCCTGGCCTGAGCCACAGTTGCCAGAGTCTGGATTAGTTGAAGAGGTAAACTGAGGCTGACCCAGCCACACCACAAGGCAGGCCCATCAGCTCCTAGGGGCCAAGCCCAGGGCACACTCAGTCTGCTGCATCTCCAAAACTTGGCAAGGACAAATAGGACAGAATCCTGCCTTCCACCCGACCCCACCATCCTCTCCTCTGAGCCCTGGGCACTGAGGACATCTTGGAGGCTGGAGGGCCCCGGTTCTACTTCTCAGAGCCTCTTCGCCTCTGCCCTGCAGGCTCCCAGTGAGTACGAGACTAGTCCAGAGCAGCTCTTCTACCGGATCGCCCACCTAAACCGCGGTCAGCAGTATCTGCTGTGGGTGGCCGCCGTCACCTCCGCCGGCCGGGGCAACAGCAGCGAGAAGGTGACCATCGAGCCTGCTGGCAAGGGTGAGAAGCCTGAGGCTGGGGTAGAAGGGCAAACGCTTCCAAAAGCTCCCTTCTGGAATCCTGTTTCTCCGCAGACAGGGACTCTGCTAGCTCCGCTCTATCTGTGACCTAGCGTGAGGAGCTGGCACGCGCCTGCCTCCTGCACTCACCAAGACTGGGCCTCTGCTGCCCCCTGACTCCAGCAAAGCTTCACAACAGGCTGCAGCCAGCTCCTGCCTGGGGCGGGGGGACAGGGTGCACTTGATTCTCCTACTCCAAATCCTACTCCTAACTTGAAAAAAGGGGAGTTGCCTCCAACCCCAGTACAAAGCCGGGATTTTGTCCCAATGCTCAGCTCCTCCAGAAGGGGCTATGGCAGGGCGTGCTGCTTCCACAGAGCAGCTGAGCCTTAAAGGAGAGGCCCCCAGTGCTGAACTAGATACGAGGCACAGGTGGTTCCAGCAATGGCAGATTCCTGCGATCCGCAGACCTTTACAGAGCGCGTGCTGTGAAGGAGGCTGTGGGCTAGAATCAGACCCTCTTAGGGAGTGCCCCACCGAATCTCTGACCAGGACATGAGTGTGGCATGGGGGTTGCACCCTCACTTTTCAGAGGAATGACACTTCTAAGGCCTCGTGCCAAGGGCAAGCTGTGGCAGCCACACAGGGAGAGCTGCGAGGCAGCATCTGCCTTGTCCCTGGGGTGCAGGAACTGGCCACAACTAGCCCAGGACCGTAGGCCCACTACTTGCTACTGGGCCTCCCTGGGCCCCACCTCGCTCCCCCACTCTCTCATCCACCACAACCCAGACGAGAGGGGGTGGTGCCTGCACAGCCCAGCCACCCTACGGGGTGACTTAAGCTCCCCTTGGCCCAGACACAAGAGCCCCAGCCCTACCCTGCCGTGGGCTGAACCAGCCAGCATCTGATCAAAGGTCTACAGTGGGTCGGGGGTTCCACCTGCCCTGCCAGCAGGGCTTGTCCCATTCCACAGCTGAGCAACCTGAGGCAGGAGCCACATGGCCTGCAGACAGCCGGGAAGGGGTGAGCTAGCTCTTCAGCTCTAAGTCAGGGCTCTTTCCACACAGCTCAGAGCCTCCCACCACCCCCTTCTTCCTGGTACTGCCAACCTCTTTTCCTTCAGGAAAAGAAGGGGTCTAGAACCTATCACCCTTCCAGGACAGCTGGCACTGGCCCAGAGGCAGGAGCATGATGGCTGGGCATCTTCGGAGAAGGCCGGCCTATTCTCCTGGGGGCATTAGATATAACACAGTCCTAGAGAGCTGTGGGCTTCCTAGAACACATTCACACAGCATCCCTCACAGCTGCCCTGCGAGGTGGGAAAGACAAATACTGCTGCCCACTTCTCCCATACACACACTCACACACACATACACACATGCACACTCATGCATATGCACACACATACACACAGACCTGCACTCACACACTTATGCACATATACACACTAATGTGCATACACACATACACACGAATATATACACACACACATATGCACACACACAAATGTACACATGCTCAAACACACGCATATGCATAGACATATACACACACTAACACATTCATGCATATGCACATACACACACATACGCGCATGCGCGCGCGCGCGCACACACACACACACACACACACACACACACACACACTGAGACACACAGAGATTCAGGGAGCCAAACCCAGCCTGTGGCAAAACCAGGTCTGGAAACTGATCTCTGGAGAACCTCGAACCCTCTGCAAAGACCCCAGGCTTCTCGCTGCCCCCCATGGAGCCGTCTTCATGTGGACCCCTCTCCCAGGCCTATCTAGTGCCCCCACTGCCCCAAGCAGCCCCCAGAACTCCCCTCCTCTGCGAGCCCCTTGGCACCCAGCACTATTAGCACAGAAGCCAGCCCCGACATCCTGCACCCAAACCTCTCCACTGCTCCCTCACTCACCCTCCCTCCACCCAAGAAGGGCCCCGGCTCCACGGACCTGCCCTACCCTCTAAGGCACTTGGGCACTTGCTTCCTTTAAATCTGAGCCTGGCAATCTCTCAGGCACCAGATGCATCTGCCCACCCAGCATACCCTGGGCACCTGTGGCCTGCGCCTTCTGTGATGCTGCTGACCCGGTCCTCCACAGCCACCCTTGGGACACTCCATCCTCTCCTCTGTGCCTGTGCTTGTGCCTGTTGACCCTGGAGTTGGTCACTGCCCTGTCATTCTGCATTCCCTCCTGTGGCCTCATCATGCCTTCTGACTCCCAGACCTGTGTCTTTGGCCCAGACAGCCCTCTGGCGCTCCAGAACACGCACCCACCTGTGGTCTAGCTACAGCTGTGGCTGCGCGTGGACTCAGCATGAGATGAAGCCATGCCTGCCAAGCCTGCCCCTCCTCTGGTGTGCCCTGTTCCCATGAGGTTGCCATCACTCACCTCAGTGGCCCAGCCAGAATCCTGGGAGCCATCCTCCCCTTTCCCCTCTCTTCCCGCAAACCAGACAGACCCCAGGTTTTGTCAGCTCTTGCCCTGAGCCCCTCACCTGTCCACCACCACACATCACCTCCAGCCTGCATTCTGGCCACCATCCCATCACAGTCTGTGTCCTCCAGGACTCCTTCCACCAAACTATCCTCTGCAAGCAGCCAGGATGCATCCGAAATTTTTTTTTTTTTCTTTTTAGACAGAATCTCACTTTGTCACACAGCCTGGAGTGCAGTGCCATGATTTCGGCTCACTGCAACCTCCACCTCTTGGGTTCAAGCGATTTTACCACCTCATCCTCCTGAGTAGCTGGGATTACAGGCACCTGCCATCATGCCCAGCTAATTTTTGCATTTTTAGTAGAGATGGGGTTTCACTGTGTTAGCCAGGCCGGTCTTGAACTCCTGACCTCATGATCCACCCGCCTCAGCCACCCAGAGTGCTGGGATTACAGGCGTGAGCCACCTCGCCCGGCCAACACCACTTCTTTTTTTTTTTTGAGACGGAGTTTCGCTCTTGTTACCCAGGCTGGAGTGCAATGGCGCAATCTCGGCTCACCGCAACCTCCGCCTCCTGGGTTGAGGCAATTCTCCTGCCTCAGCCTCCCGAGTAGCTGGGATTACAGGCACGCACCACCGTGCCCAGCTAATTTTTTGTATTTTTAGTAGAGACGGGGTTTCACCATGTTGACCAAGATGGTCCCGATCTGCTGACCTCGTGATCCACCCGCCTCGGCCTCCCAAAGTGCTGGGATTACAGGCGTGAGCCACCGCGCCCGGCCCAACACCACTTCTTATAAGCCTCTGGCAGAGGAATTTCAACCTCCTGGCCCTGCCAAAAAAGTCCCTGAGATTTTACTCCTGCCTGTAGCCCTGGATTCAAGCTTTGGTTACCCCAAGAGTACCTGCAAACCCTCACACCTGCCATGAATTTCAGATCTCCATGTCCCTGCTCAATGCTGGTCCCTCTTCCCGACATGCGTTTCTTTCCCTGCTTATAAAGTCTTTCTTAGCCTTCAAGTCAGAGCTTCCAATTCCAGATGTTGTGTAGCCATCGCCTTTACCACCCACCTATGGAGCAGCATGCCCTCCCCCTGCCTCGCGCCTGCACCTACCATAGCATTTTTGCCCTGTTATAATTTATCCTTACATATCTGTCTCCCTCTTGGATGGTGATCCACTTGAGGACAGGGAAGAAATCATACTCACTTTTTGACTCCTCAGAGCCTCATGCAATACCTGACCATAGCTGATATTTCATCATTGTTTCTTGAGTCAGTGTCCCCCCGCCAATATCCCCTGACACCCACCCCTCAACGAAAGCCCAAGGTGGAGGTCAGATTGGGAGGGAGAATTGAACTGTAAATCCAGGGGGCCCTGAGGAAGGGGGCCAGGACATTGTGCAGGGGTAGAAGTGGCATGGCCCTCACCCTCTCCTCCCTGTAGCCCCAGCAAAGATCATCTCCTTTGGGGGCACCGTGACAACACCTTGGATGAAAGATGTTCGGCTGCCTTGCAATCCGGTGGGAGATCCAGCCCCTGCTGTGAAGTGGACCAAGGACAGGTGTGTGTCAGGACCTTGGAGGGAGGGGGTGGCCCCAGGCAGGGATGTAGTAGAAGAGCCATGAGGAGGAGAGTCTGGAGCCTCCTACCTGCTGACCCAGTTGCCTCTGGGTCCTGTGGAGGCCTGGCAGGATATGCTGCTACTGCTCTCTCAAGCAGGCCTGGCCTCCTGGCTCCCCTCTTGGGAGCCAAGGACCTCCCTTCCCTGGGTGGTTAAAAAGGCCAGGTTACCTGATACCCCTAGGGAGTGCTGAGCAAAGCCCCAAGAACCCAGCGTCCATGCCCAGCTGTCTTTGTCACACATGGGGGGAGGGCCTCAGGACAAGGGGGTGCTTGCCATGACCCACCTGCCCCATGCTCACCCTGGCAGTGAAGACTCGGCCATCCCAGTGTCCATGGATGGACACCGGCTCATCCACACTAACGGCACGCTGCTACTGCGCGCAGTGAAGGCTGAGGACTCCGGCTACTACACCTGCACAGCCACCAACACCGGGGGCTTCGACACCATCATCGTCAACCTTCTGGTGCAAGGTGAGGCTCTGCGATGCAGGCGGTCCTAGGTGGGGACAGGGATGGAGAAAGGGTAGGAATTCCATCACGTGAGAGGGTCGTCAAATGGAAGAAGATAAACCGAGAGAGAGAGAGACCTTTGGTGGAACAGAGGTGCACGTGGAAGGGGAAGTGGGAGAGCTGGGGAGTGACAGTGAGTGTGTGCGAGAGCTGGCACCTTCCCGCCATGGGGGGGGCCCCATAAGCCATCATCGGGGTCCACCCTTGTGCTGAGGAGTGGTGGATTTCCCCTCACAGTTCCCCCGGACCAGCCCCGCCTCACTGTCTCCAAAACCTCAGCTTCATCCATCACCCTGACCTGGATTCCAGGTGACAATGGGGGCAGCTCCATCCGAGGTGAGGAGGGGTCTGGATGAGGTGGGGAGACAGGGGAAGGAATTCTGGGCCCAGGGTGGGGAAGGGGCTTCACCCACTTATGCCATTTGTCTCCAAATGGTGGAAATGATCTGGGGGCCGAGTGGCCCACAAGGAAGTGACTCAAGGGCCCAGGGAGCTGCAGTGGCCCCAGCATCTGGGATTTAGTACACCCGCCCCCCATTGCCACTCGTGACTGTGTGACCCTGGAGTAGCCTGTTTCCCTCTCTGATTCTAGTCTCCCAATCTGTTAAAGTAGACAAATGGACTAGATCAGTGCTTCCCAAGCCTGAGTGTGCATCTGCGTCACCGAGGGGCCTTGTAACCACGCAGTTCTGACTCAGCACTCTGGGCTGGGCTGAGGACCTGCCTTTCTAACACACTCCAAGTGCTGCTGAGCTGCTGCTCAGGGGACCACATGTGGAGTAGTGAGGGTCCAGACAGGACCCCTTGTGAGCCTCACAACTCTGGTTTTCATCCCTTTCCACCTGGGCCACTAACCCCTAACACTAGAGCCAAAATGACAGCAATTAAACCCACTCAGCTGGACCCAAAGCCCTTACAGCGTTTTGTTGACTGATTGGTTTAATATTGAGAGTTGACTGGGCCGGTCCTTCCAATTTTGCATCTGAGGAGCATATGCTCCTTCCAATGAGCAAACACATCTCTCTGTCCCCTGCCTGGAGGCTGGGATTCTGCTGCCCTGCCCTGCCCCCACCTGAACCAGGCCTACCCTCCACAGGCTTCGTGCTGCAGTACTCGGTGGACAACAGCGAGGAGTGGAAGGACCTGTTCATCAGCTCCAGTGAGCGCTCCTTCAAGTTGGACAGCCTCAAGTGTGGCACGTGGTACAAGGTGAAGCTGGCAGCCAAGAACAGCGTGGGCTCTGGGCGCATCAGCGAGATCATCGAGGCCAAGACCCACGGGCGGGGTGAGGCTCAGGCCACCAGGGCAGGAAAGGAGCAATAGGCCCGGGGAGGGGAGGATAGAGGGGCCAGGTATGGGATGGAAGGGCCAGGTATGAGGAAGGAGGAGCCCAGAGATGCAGGGAGACCGAAGGGAGGAGCCTTGGCCTCCTTCCCACCACCACAGCATCCTGATGGATCCCATTAGGAAAAACTAGTCCCACTTCCTCACCAGGTGACCAAGGGTGGCACTCCTCTGCCTCTTCCCATCTCCCTTCCTCCTCTGCTCTGGCCTCTCTCTAGGCCCTGCCCTTTCTTCCCTCTCCTCCCACCCCTCCTCTTCCTCCTCTGCTCCCTAGGGCTTCCCCACCCCTCTGTGCCAAACATGTATTCTCCTGGAGCCACTGCCATCCCAGCTCCCCAGGGAAATCCTTTCCAGCCCAGCCCAGTCCTGCCTCCCTACCAGTCTCTCTAACCTCTCTCTCTCCCTCCGGCCCGCCAGAGCCTTCCTTCAGCAGAGACCAACACCTCTTCACCCACATCAACTCCACGCATGCTCGGCTTAACCTGCAGGGCTGGAACAACGGGGGCTGCCCTATCACAGTCATCATGCTGGAGTACCGGCCCAAGGGGACCTGGGCCTGGCAGGCCCTCCGCGCCAACAGCTCCGGCGAGGTGTTTCTGACCGAACTGCGAGAGGCCACATGGTACGAGCTACGCATGAGGGCTTGCAACAGCGCCGGCTGCGGCAACGAGACGGCCCAGTTTGCCACCCTGGACTACGATGGCAGTGAGTCACAAGGGTGGGAGGGATGGTACAGAGACTGAAGCAGGGTGGTGCCAAGGAAGTGGGCAGAGTGGCAGACACATAAAGAGACAGAGTAATAGAAAAACAGGCAGGAATGCAGGCGGGGGAAATGCAGGCCTGCAGGTGAAGGAGCTGGCAGAGGGAACAGCAGGTTGGTTGCAGCCAGGTAAGTGGACAAATGCACCAGTGGCCACTACAGACGGACAGCCACATAGGTCAGTAACACCAAAGATGGAGAGTCTTTGAAGCTGTAGTCCTCAGACACTGTGCATTGTTTCAGGGAGGTAAAGAGGGAGGTACCAGTGTGGTTGAGGTCCTGCCCTCTGAGAACTTTCTGCTGATATGGAATATTAGCCAGGAGGGGACAGCGTATGCTGCAGTCACAAATATCAAAACCTGGTGGCTTAACCCAGTACTGATTTGTTTCTTGCTCTCTTGGAGTCCTGCGAAGGTTGAGTGGCCACCATCTTTTAGCTGTGCCATCTTGAACATGGAGCCTCCAGGATCCATAGAAAAGGCCTACTAAGGCACACTACCAGTTCCTCACTGCCTCGGCCAGCAGGTGGCGTCTGCCACATAGGGATACATATACACATACACATGGACACATACATCTGTTGAAGGAACATGGAAGGCTGAATTCATAGAAGCTCATTGTCACAAGCCTACCTATGTTAAGGAAACAGAATAAAAACAGTAAGAGAAGGCGATGGACTCAAGCAAGGAAGCCTTCCTGAAGGAAGTGACATTTAAGCAAAGTTCTGAAATAGGCAAGGATCAGGGCTTGGCAGAGGGTTATGTCAGCAGGACAGCTTGTCATGCTTCCCTGCAGGAACCCCAGGTTAGCAGATATGGCCCATGAGAGGGATGGGCAGGGAGAGAACGTAGGGTTTGTAGTGGTTTTTGTCCACATCTGGGAAGAGAACCTAGAGTCCACCGCCCCGACTTCTCTCTGCCGTGCTTCACCCTTTGTTTCCCCCGACCCCAGCTGGATATAAGAATTTAAGCCCATCAATCCGCTCTCTAGGAATGAACACTGAACTCCAACAGGCAAGAGACTAACTCCAGGAGACTTCAGGTTAATTCTACAACTGTACCAGGAAGTCGTTAATAAAACGCAATATAAAAAGCACACGACTGTTCATGGCTGTCCTGATAGGACCAGAATTTGGGGAGCAGAGGGAAAGCCAGAGCTCTGTGCCAGGAGGTAGAGGTCAGCCCAAGGGCACCAAGAGAGGTCAGAGGTCTATCCCACCCATGAGATACTCTGCACAGCACCTGGCTCATAAGGGACATCTAACTCTATTCTTTGCCCTCGTTCAGGCACCATTCCACCCATTAAATCTGCTCAAGGTGAAGGGGATGATGTGAAGAAGCTGTTCACCATTGGCTGCCCCGTCATCCTGGCCACACTGGGAGTGGCACTGCTCTTCATCGTACGCAAGAAGAGGAAGGAGAAGAGGCTGAAGCGACTCCGAGGTGGGGGAGCTTCCTATGGGCCTTCCAGAAGGGGGTGTTGGCTCTTGGCCACACTGGCTCCACTTCATTGGCTCACAGCACCATCTGGATAGTGGAGAGTGCCTGTGTCCCCTTGAAGGAGGAGCGGCCACTCAAACTTTCTGAAACCTCCTTAGTTCAGAAGTTTTCATTCACCACTTCCTCCTCTTTGCCCCCAAGACTTTGTGCCTGCCCCAATCAGGATTAATGTTTAGCGGTACACTGGTAAAGTCATGTTGGTTGTTAAATATTTAAACATTTCCATGTTGGTTGGTAAACAGACGTTGCTCCTTTCCACACTGGATGCTCCATCCCCTCTCACAGGATCCCAGCAACTTTCCTAGGACCCATCCACTAAAGAAGAGACCTGCAGGTAGTCTCAAGGAACATGCTCAGCTCTGACTGGACAGTTTCTGCACCATGTCGGGTGTCAAATATTTTGAATATCATCCCCTTTTTCCATTACCTGATGCCACAGTCTACTGTGAATGGGTCTGATTTGCCTCAATTTTCCCACAGTCTCATACAGTGCCTGGAACTTACTAGTTGCTTCATAAATGTACATTCATTTATTTGGAAAATTTTTTAGTCTGCTTCATCATAGATACTGTCAGACTACAGAGATCAATAAAGAAGGGCCAAGTCATACTCTTACAGAATTTATCATCTAATGTGAGAAGCCAGGAGACAATAGTAGCACAGAAGAGAGAATGACTAATGCTCCCTATCATGTTCAGGAATTGGGTAAACGGATGAATAGACGGTTCCATGGATGGTTGATTAGATAGATGGATGGATGGATGAATTGGGTGGATGGTTGAATGACCAGATGGGTAAGTAGTTACAGGGTTGGATGGTTGGATGGATTACCGAATAAATGGTTGGATGGAAGGATGTATAGATGGAAGGATGGTTGGATGGCTGAATAGACGGCTACATGTAAGGATGGTTGCATAAAAGGTTGAATGAATAGATGGGTGGATGGATAAATGGATGAATTGTTGAATGCTAGATAATGGATGATTATATGAAGAGTTGAATAGATGGGTAGATGATTGAATGGAGCTTGGATGGATAAATACTTTGATAGATTGATGGATGACAAGATGGAAAAATGGCTGGATGGAAAAATAGTTGGAATTTTGGGGATGATTGGGTGAATGGCTAAAGGAGTGGTTGGATGGAAGGTTTAATATATAAATATAAGAATGATTGAACTGATGCTGAATGCATGGGTGGATGGTTGGCTTACTGGTTGAATCAATGAGTGGATGGATGGTTGAATAGGTGGATGACGAATTAATGATTGGTTGGATGGGTGGATGGATAATGGATGGCACATGGTTAGATGGATGGATGGATAGATCGATGGATGGATGGATGAATGGATAGCTAGACAGCTGGATGGTTGGATGCATGCATACAGCATTCATCCTGGTATTCATCCATCCATCTTTGGATTCATTCTGACAGCTCATTCTCAGATATCTAATGGATTAACTAGGCTCTTTAATTCTTCTCTCTTCCAAATTCCTGAGAGTTCTGATCCTATTCAAGGCTCCTCTGAGACAAAGCAGGGGCCACAAAATCTATCCATGGACTTTTTGGGGACAGATGCCCCAGAGGAGGAAGTGAAGCCTCTTGGTTGATATTCAAATCCTGAATCTGGGGATTCCCATTGACCACCTCTACTCCATCCTCCACTCTCGCCTCTCCCCAGGATATAGCTGAGGAGACACCCTCCACTGATATCCATTTCCAGCCTGTTATGGTGTGTTTAAGTAGAGTCACTTCATGAAGCAGATAGGGCACTTGCTGTGCCCCCTGTGCTTTGGGAAGAATCTCCCTATTAGACAAAATCTGAGGAAAAGAAAACAGACTTGAGCCAAATCCTGAATTGGGGGCAGTGAAACTGCGTCATGTTTTGGGCTGTTTTATAGGTCCTTACATTTCTCCTTCTGCTTCTTAGGAGACCAGCCCTGGCCCCATTTTAAGGAATTCTCCACTTTGTTTCCCATGCCTCTCCCATTATCCTCATGTTCAAACTTCATTCTCACCCAGCCCTCCTCTTCCTCTACTGTTTTGCAGATGCAAAGAGTTTGGCAGAAATGTTGATAAGGTGGGTATCACCAAGCTGCTTCCTTTCTCCTCCCTTCTCCCTTCTCCCCTGCAAAGGACTGAGGAGCCTCCCTCTGAATTCCCAGAATAGGCTTCTAAGATCCCACTGTCCTGCAAAGCCCCCTCCCCCAACCCCTTATGGCTGCTGAGCCACCCACCTCCAGTCTTTCTCCCCACAGCAAGAACAATCGAAGCTTTGACACCCCTGTGAAAGGGCCGCCCCAGGGCCCACGGCTACACATTGACATCCCCAGGGTTCAGCTGCTCATTGAGGACAAAGAGGGCATCAAGCAGCTGGGTGAGTGACAGGTGCCAGGAGCTCCCTGTCCTGCTGGGTGTGCTTCCCCAGGCTACAACCCACAGAAGTCAAACACCAGCCCTCATAGCAGTGACCAGGGTTTCTGGCAGTAGCCCCATCAACCACAACAACCTTAGAATTCACAGTGGCTTTGTTCAAGGGCTAAGTTTCCTCCTCCATTCAACAGAGGGAATTGCTGGCCTTTCTGTGACTCAACGTTGGGTAAAGCCTGGGTGGGTGTGAGAGGTTATGTCTGTTATCCCAGCACTTTGGGAGGCCAAAGAGGGAGGACCACTTGAGGCCAGAAGTTCAAGACCAGCCTGGGCAACACAGTGAAACCCTATTTCTAAAAAAAAAAAAAAAAAAAAAATTAGTCAGGCGTGGTGATACACACCTGTAGTCCCAGCTACTCAGGAGCTTGAGGTAGGAGGATAGCTTAAGCTCAGGAGATTGAGGCTGCAGTGAGCAATGATCACAATTAAGCCTGGGCAACAGAGTGAGACCCTGTCTCAAAAAAACTAACAAACAAACAAAAAACACATCAGACAAATACAAAGAGAAATTCAGTCACGTCCAACAGAGCTTTAAAAAAAAGTTGTAAAAGACCCCTGGTAATTGTCCTTCTTTCCCCAGGAGATGACAAGGCCACCATCCCTGTGACAGATGCTGAGTTCAGCCAAGCTGTCAACCCACAGAGCTTCTGTACTGGCGTCTCCTTGCACCACCCAGCCCTCATCCAGAGCACAGGACCCCTCATCGACATGTCTGACATCCGGCCAGGAACCAGTATGCATTATCCCCAGGGAATCAGCCCTCTTCTCACCCAGGGTGGCCTGGGCATAGCAAGACACAGAGGTGGTGTTTTCTAAAAGGGAGGAGGGAGCATCATGGGATAGAATGGAAAAATGGAAAGCACTGGAATTAGCATCTGGAAGCCTTGATTGCAGATTTACTAACTGTGATCTTGGACATATCACCAACTTTATCTCTCTGGGCCTGTTTCCTCACCTAGAAATTTTGGGAGTATTGGGTATTCTTGTTCTCCAGGGGCTTTTCTATCTCTAGCACTGTGTATCTGGATATAGGATAGAACACATCAAGGACTGTGGGGAATGAATGGACAGCCAGGAGGCAGCAGGAGAGGACATCACATTCTCCTGCAGGGGAAGGAAAAGATGGGGTGGGTGAGGAGAATGCCCTCTACTGCCCCCACACTTGACTCGGCTGCTCTTCCCTGGGGACGGCGATGTGGTTAGGAAAGGCAGCATTCCCAAGGGAACTTCTGTGGCTACATCTGCCTCTTCCCTCCCACCCCACTGCCCTTTCTGGTAAGTACCAGTTGCCTAAGCCTGGGTGCCTTTGGTTGGAGGGTGTGATTTCTTGCTTCTGTCTGTGCAGATCCAGTGTCCAGGAAGAATGTGAAGTCGGCACACAGTACCCGGAACCGGTACTCAAGCCAGTGGACCCTGACCAAGTGCCAGGCCTCCACACCCGCCCGCACCCTCACCTCTGACTGGCGCACTGTGGGCTCCCAGCATGGTGTCACCGTCACTGAGAGTGACAGCTACAGTGCCAGCCTGTCCCAGGACACAGGTGTGCCTAGGGTCCTGCTGGCATCCTGAACACCTCCCCCTAGTTCCCCATCATTCACCTTCACCTTCTATTCTTCCCAGCTTCTACCCTCCAGCTCAGGCGACCCAAGGCACAAGTCAGTTTCATGTCTAGCTGGTCACTGACCCACTGTGTGGCTGGAACAAAAACACTTGACCTCACTGAGCTCTACTTGGTCAAGGAGTTAATTTTGCTTTCCCGAAAGGTGTCAGTGAAAATGGACACATGATGTTCGTTGGAGAAAGGGCTGAATATTCCAGCAGATGGTTGCTTATTTTCAAGAATGAAAGTTCTGCCCTTCATGAGCCAAAGATCCTACTTCTGCCACCACTGCCACCTTCACAGGATCTTCTCAGCCTGTTCCCCTCCATGGCCAGAATTCCAGATGGCTGATGGGGTTACAGCAGGGAAAGTGTTCAGTCAGTCTCACTTATACCCTTCTCCCCGTAACCCACTCCTTCCCTCTTAATTCCCCAGACAAAGGAAGGAACAGCATGGTGTCCACGGAGAGTGCCTCTTCCACCTATGAGGAGCTGGCCCGGGCCTACGAGCACGCCAAGCTGGAGGAGCAGCTGCAGCACGCCAAGTTTGAGATCACCGAGTGCTTCATCTCTGACAGTTCCTCCGACCAGATGACCACAGGCACCAATGAGAACGCTGACAGCATGACATCCATGAGCACACCCTCAGAGCCTGGCATCTGCCGCTTCACCGCCTCACCACCCAAGCCCCAGGATGCTGACCGGGGCAAAAATGTGGCTGTGCCCATCCCTCACCGGGCCAACAAGAGTGAGTGCTCAGACTACCTCCCAGGCTGTGCCCTCCACCCCCTGCCCCAAGCCCCATGAGCCCTGGCTAGATCTAGTCCTACCAACACTGATCCTGCCAGCCCAGCTTGGCTCCTTGGCAGTGCAGGGTGGTACCAACAGCAAGGACTTGGGAGCAGGCAGATCGGGGCCCACATCCTGGTTCAACCTCTTGATATGTCTGACCTGGGGCAAGTAATTTAATCTCTGTGGCCTTAAGCTTCTCATTTGTAAGATGCCAATGATAGTATCGACTTTGCATTGTCATAATGGGAATTGGAAATTATATACACGGCCAGCTTGTCATAGGGTTCATTCATTAAGTAGTGGTCATCCCCCTAATCTGAAGTTGTGCCAGGATGTAAACAGATCCCTTCGGGATCAGCTGTCCTCTGGTCTCAATGTTGTTTGAATTTAATCTGGACCCAAACAAACAGTCCTGGCAGCTCTGCCCACTATGGTCATACCTCTTGGTAGGCAGTGACCTGGCCTAGCTGGGAATTACCTGACCCCAGTGGCCTGACCAGAGCATATGTCCTTAGAGGCTGGCAGGGCAAGGTTAAGATCACCAGGGGGAGTCCATCAGCAGATGCTGGGGTCACAGCATGCAAAGTCCAGACTATCAAACCATGCGGTCTGGTCTGCTTAGCACTGGCCGTGCCAACTGAGGCAGGGGGCAGGTTTTCTGGGTCATCGAAAGAAGAGTCTTTGGAGACTGTGGCCCTGAATGACACCCCCATCACTTCTAGCTGTGCAAATTTAGACAAATGATTTAATCTCTCTGAACCATAGTTTCCTCACTTGTAAAGTGCAGACAGGTATTAACCCATCCTGGGGGCTGTCAAGCAGATTCAATAAGAAAATCTAAGGAAAGTGCCTGGCCAAGCTCCCCAGGGAAAGAGGCCCATTTACCGGTGGGGTACCCAGAGAGCACAGGGGTCAGGAGGCTTCATGTCACACAGAAGCAGTTTAAGAAATTAGGAACTCAGCTGGGCACATTGGCTCACTCCTATAATCTCAGCACGTTGAGAGGCCAAGGCTGGCAGATCACCTGAGGTCAGGGGTTTGAGACCAGCCTGGCCAACAAAGCAAAACCCTGTCTCTACTTTAAAATACAGAAATTATGGGCTGGGCACGGTGGCTCACGCCTGTAATCCTAGCACTTTGGGAGACCAAGGCGGGTGGATCACGAGGTCAAGAGATCGAGACCATCCTGGTCAACATGGTGAAACCCCGTCTCTACTAAAAATATAAAAAATTAGCTGGGCATGGTGGCGTGTACCTGTAATCCCAGCTACTCAGGAGGCTGAGGCAGGAGAATTGCCTGAACCCAGGAGGTGGAGGTTGCGGTGAGCCGAGATCGTGCCATTGCACTCCAGCCTGGGCAACAAGAGCAAAACTCCGTCTCAAAAAAAAAAAAAAAAAAATACAGAAATTAGCTGGGCATGGTGGCACATGCCTATAATCCCAGCTACTCAGGAGGCTGAGGCAGGGGAATCGCTTGAACCCGGGAGGCGGAGATTGCAGTGAGATGAGATTGCACCACTCCAGCCTGAGTGAGAGAGACTCCAAATCAAAAAAAAAAAAAGAAATTAGGAACTTTCCACCTGGAGAAGAGGGGACCAAGGGGAGGAGAGAGGAGGACACCTAGCTGACTTCAAACATCTGGAAGGCTGCCATGAAAAAGAGGGGGAGGCCTTTCTCTGTGAGACGTCAGAGGACAGCACCAGGCTCCATGGTGAGGAGGCAACAGGGAATGATATCCATTTCCTCCTCAGGGTAAAGAAACGCTTTCCACCAGCCTGAGCTGTTAGGACGTCTTTGTGCTTAGCAGTGAGCTCTCCACTAGCAGAAGCTGAGCAGAGCAAGCGTGCATGTATTGGGCAACTATTACCTGCACCAGCCACTGCAGCAAAGCACTTTACCTACTGCATCTCATTCGTGCCTCACGATAATCCCGTGGGGAATAAGGTCATCCCATTTCACAGATACGGAAACAAAGACTCAGAAACGTAGAGCACCCGACCTTTCATCTCCTCTTTATTGCACCTCCAGTGGCAGGGCCCTTATGCCAGATCAGAGAGAAGACTTGGTGGGGGCTGAAAGGGCTGCTTCCAGAGGCCTCTGCCTCTCACATCCTCTGCCTCTGTGATTCCAGGTGACTACTGCAACCTGCCACTGTATGCCAAGTCGGAGGCCTTCTTTCGAAAGGCAGATGGACGTGAGCCCTGCCCTGTGGTCCCACCGCGAGAGACCTCCATCCGGAACCTGGGCCGAACCTACCACACCCAGGCTCGCCACCTGACCCTGGACCCTGCCAGCAAGCCCTTGGGCCTCCCGCACCCAGGGGCCCCTGCTGCCGCCTCCACAGCCACCTTACCTCAGAGGACTCTGGCCATGCCAGCCCCCCCAGCCGGCACAGCCCCCCCAGCCCCCGGCCCCACCCCTGCTGAGCCCCCCACTGCCCCCAGCGCCGCCCCTCCAGCTCCCAGCACTGAGCCTCCACGAGGCGGGGGCCCACACACCAAAATGGGGGGCTCCAGGGACTCACTTCTCGAGATGAGCACATCGGGGGTAGGGAGGTCTCAGAAGCAGGGGGCCGGGGCCTACTCCAAATCCTACACCCTGGTGTAGGGCCAGCAGGGAGAGCAGCCCACGCCTGGACTGCGCCGCAGCCCCACACACCAGCTCGGCTGTTTTTCTGCATTATTTATATTCAACTGACAGACAAAAACCAACGACAAAACACAAACCCCCAATCATGAACGCCTGTACATAGAACTCTTTTGTACAAATGAAACTATTTTCTTCTTCTTCTCCATGAAGCCAGGGCACAAAGAATTTGACAGTACAAGTCAAATCCCCCAACCCACAAAATATGTGTGGAGATATATATACATATATAGACAGAGAGGAACACGTCGACAAGCTATATATCTATATATTTCTCTCACCCTATTTTGAGACAGAGGCACAAAGACTCAGCAATTTTTTTTCCCTCCTCCTCACCTTCCCCCTCAATCTAGGTGGTTTTGACAAAGACCAAAATCCCAGCTCAGAGACACTGCATGCGATTTTACTGTTCCAAGAAAACCAGGAGTTGCTTCAATTTGCAGATGCTTATGTGTTAATACCTTTTTCTATGAAAAAAGACCCAGCGCCGTGTGCAATAAAGGTTATGTTTCTATGTGGTGGCTTTTTTCCCATTTAGCGAGGGCCAGCGGGGAGGTAGGAGAGACCCCTGTCCCAGGCCGTCTGTCACTCATAGAGAGACTTTGTGAGAAGCCTGAGCTTTGGCTCAGGGCTTTAAGATTTTCAAAGGCTTGCAATTAGCTGAGGTGCCTCCTCTTTTGTTCTCAGGGCTATACTGGGCCCTCAAGGGGAACCAGCTCGGTGGCTTCCTGCAAACTCCTAAACCCCTCTGAGCCACAGTGTCCTTCCCTGTAAACGGAGGGAAGCTTGTAACAGATGGAATGGGGCAACTTTGGCTCACCAAGCGCTGGGGAGCCTGGGATAGTGGAGGGGCTGCCTACTGGCGTCTATCCTCCAAGAGAGTGCAGAGCAGCTAGGGGGCCAGGACTATCCAAAACCACTAGCCAACAGTTGTGGGCAAAGTGCCTATGTATTGGGAGTGGGGAAGAAGAAATTACAGCTGGGGTACCAGGCCAGGGCCTAACATTCTGGACTGTTAGGGCCAGGTGAGGTCAGAGGGAGGAGAGAAGTCATCAGAGGTCATGGGGGTAAAAGAAGCTCATGGAGGAGAGGGAATGGAGCTCAACAAAAGAGAACCAGGTCAGCACACCAGGTGCCTCACCTGGCTTCCACGGAGTCAGCAACTAGCTGATTGCCAAGCAGAAGGAAAGGCGTCCCCATGGAGGAGCAGGTAAAATGCCATGGGTGTGCAGAGGCCCGGCTTCTGATGAGAGGGTCCAGAGGGCATCACAGCAGGTGGCAGGTGAGATGGACCTCCAGGGACTCAAAGATTTGGAGAGGCAGAAGCAGGTGACTGGCCCTGGGGTGAAAAGGAAGTGCACCTAAGCAGTGTGTGGGGGCTCCTGAGTTGAGCACTGCAATTGAGGCTGAGTGTGGATCAGGAATCTGGAAGGAAGGTGAGTCTGGGACCCGCTGCTCCCCAGCAGCTGAGAGGAGGAACTGGGAAGGGCTGGAGACGGAGCGAGGAGCTTGGGCATGCGGGTAGCACCTATCAGCCTGGGCCCAGTCAGGCCCCACCTGGGATGCATGACCTTTCATGGAAGCATCTTCCGAATAGCAATTCATCCCACAAACACTCTCGGAGCACCTAGAGTGTGGGGGGTGCAGAGAGGAGTCCCTCCCTTGAATAACTAGATTCCTGAGTCGGCACCCTGAGAGGGGAGGGGCAGAGATTCTGTACGCCTTGGTATTCCTAGGCTTATGAAGAAATGCTTATTTCAGCCCCCACACCCAGGACCCAGCCTGGAGAAGCAGCTAACAACATCAGTGAAAACCAGAACTCTGCATTCCAGACACCTGATGACAGCCCAGCTTCGTCCCATCTCTGGGAGGACGAGACACCTCCCAAGGATGCGCACGCCATCTGCAGGTCACCTCCAGAACTGCAAGCACTACGATCAAACCTTAACGTTCTGCTTAGAATGCCTCCCAACCCCACCTTCCCTGCACACCAGTGGCTGGGCACACAAACGAATCAGGGCCAGCTCCAGCCTGCAGGAAGGAATGAACAACTCCTCAGAAGCTAAGAGCGCAGAAGATGGAGCCAGCCCAACGGCTGCGAAGGGGAACGCTGTCGTCAAAACCCATTACGGATCTCGATACTACGCGCCAGGTCCTGAGCAAAACACATGCCTCGCATTGATTGGCTCTTGTAACCCCATTGCAGATTTGAGAGAAAGGTATCACGATCTCCACTTGACAGGTGAGAAGGCCGGGGTTTTCAGTTCAGTAACTATCTGAGGTTAGAGGAGCAAGAAGAGATGGGAATGAGATTTAAACTCATGAGTGTCCAATTCCTTAACTACTGAGCTATATTACCTGCTGTTCCACTGTTCAAAGACAGTTTCAGTTCTTCCCTGAGGATGCTGCCAAGGAAAGAGTCCGCCAGGTCTAGGGAGCAAGCTGGACGTGCTGGCAGAAAAACAGTTGATGTGAAGCTATCAGTAAACAGGTCAGGGCCCAGTGCAGTGGCTCACGCCTGTAATCCCAGCACTTTGGGAGGCCAAGGAGGGTGGATCACCTGAGGTCGGGAGTTCAAGACCAACCTGACCAACATGGTGAAACCCCATCTCTACTAAAAATACAAAATTAGCTAGGCATGGTGGCGTGTGCCTGTAATCCCAGCTACTCGGGAGGCTGAGGCAGAAGAATCACTTGAACCTGGGAGGCAGAGCAAAACTCTTTAAAAAAAAAAGTTCAGGCCAGTGATCCAATATGCCATGCAGGATGGTTCAAGTGCTATGCAGTACTTTACCTTGGTGAGGGCAGTGGTAGAAAAAGTGGAATTTAGCTCTAGGGAGCCGCTGGAGGCCTGGGACCTGTGCTAGACTATGTCAGATGAGAAGGATTTGGAAAAGCAACAGAAAAGTAAGACATGGGCCAGTTTAGCTTTTATTCCACTGGACTAGGCCCCTTATTTTAAAGCACAAAGTCTAGAAATTCAGACAGACTTGAGCAAAATCCACACGATTCTATTTGCTAATATCTCTAACTTCAATAAGTTTTGCAAATTTGGGGGGATTTAGGGTTTTGTTGTTTGTTTGTTTTTTGTTTTGTTTTGTTTTGTTTTGTTTTTGAGACAGCATCTCACTCTGTCACCCAGGCTGGGGGGCAGTGGTGTGATGATGGCTCACTGCAGCCTCGATATCCCTGGCTCACGTGATCCTCCTGCCTCAGCCCCTCGAGTAGCAGGAACTACAGGCACATGCCACCAGAGTCAGCTAATTTGATACCTTTTTTTTTTTTTTTTTTTGGTAGAGATAGAATTTCGCTATGTTGCCCAGGCTGATCTCGAACTCCTGAACTCAAGCAATCCTCCCGCCTCAGCCTCCCAAAGCACTGGGATTATAGGTGTGAGCCACCACGCCAGGCCCTTGATACATTTTTTAGCTAAACCACAAGCCTGCCTGTTTGATCCACACCCAGAAGCTAATTCACAAATCAGTGGAACTCCTGCTCCCTCTCACTCATCCCCAGCTCATCCTCATTGAACTCTAAATCTGGAGCAGTCATCTTACACATTCACTTGCTCCTTTCCAGACCTCCACTTTATCTACCATGGACAAGACGACCATCTGCCCTCAAGAGCCTTAATACTCCACGTGTGGTTTACAGGCCAGTGGCACCAGCATCCCCATCACCTAGGAGCTTTACAAATGCAAACTATCAGGCGTCATCCTGGGAATCAGACCACTGAATCAGACTCTGTACTTCAGCAAAATCCTCAGGGGACTCATATGCACATCAAAGTTTGAGAAGCCCGCCTCAAGAAGACCTTCAGAGAGATCACCCCTTGTTCCCCCCATTGCAACAACCAAAGTTAGACTAGTGGGTCTTAAACTTAGGTGCACATCGGATTCACCTGAGGACCTCATTCAACAATATAGAAGCCCAGCTCTCGCCAATCCTGATGGAATAGGAATTTGTTGGTATGTGGCCTAGGTAATTTTGTTTTTGTTTTTGTTTTTTGTTTTTTTTGAGACAGGGTCTTACCCTATAGCCTAGGCTAGAGTGCAGTGATGGTATCACAGCTCGCTGCAGCCTCAACCTCCCTGACTCAGGTGATCCTCCCACCTCAGCCTCTCAAGCAACTGGAAGTATTGGCACTTGCCACCACACCTGGCTAGTTTTCGTATTTTTAGTAGAGATGGAGTTTCACCATGTTGCCCAGGCTGATCTTGAACTCCTGAGCTTAAGCAATCACCATCTCGGCCTCCCAAAGTGCTGGGATTACAGGCATGAGCCATTGCACCTGACCAACATTTTTATTTTTATGGTGGTAAAAGATACATAATACAAAATTTGCCATTGTAACCAGTTTAAATCATACAATTCAGCAGCAGTAAATACATTTACCTTGTTGTACAATCACCGCTATCCATTTCCAGAACTTTCTCATCATTCCAGAAAGAAACTTTGTACCCATTAGTCAGTAACTCCCCATTTTCCTTTCTCTGCACCTGGCAACCACCATTCTACTTTCTGTCTCTAAAATCTGCCCATGCTGGGTACCTCAGATAAGTGGAATCACACAATACGTGTCCTTTGGGTTCGGGCTTATTTCACTTAGCATCATGTCCAAGTTCCATCCATGCTGTAGCATGTATCAGAATTCCATTCCTGCTTGAGGATATTTCATTATTTACCACATTTTGCTTCTCCATTCCTCTCCTTGTGGACACTTGGAATGCTTCTACCTTTCCGCTATTGTGAATAACGCTGCTATGAATAAGAGTGTACAAGGATCTGTTTGGGCTCCTCTTTTCAATTCTTTTGGGACTATACCCAGGACTGAAATTGCTGAATCACATGCTTATTCTATGTCTTATGTTTTGGGGAACCAAAAAACTGTTTTTCACCATGCATCTGTTTTTGGTTTTGTTTTTGTTTTTTTCTAGATGGAGTCTTGCTTTGCTGCCCAGGCTGGAGTGCAGTGGCCTGATCTCAGCTCACTGCAACCTCTGCCTCCCAAGTTCAGTGATTCTCCTGCCTCAGCCTCCCAAGTAGCTAGGATTACAGGCATGCGTCACTACGCCCAGCTAATTTTTTTGTATTTTTGGTAGAGACGGGGTTTCACCATGTAGGCCAGCCTGGTCTCAAACTCCTAACCTCGTGATCCGCCCACCTCAGCCTCCCAAAGTGCTGGGATTACAGGCATGAGCCACCGCGCCTGGCTGTGTCTGTATTTTTAACAAGCGAAATGACACCCAAGCATTTGTTCATTCATCAGATACCCCGAAGCACTTCCAATGATCTGGCACTGAGCCGGGCACTGGAGATGCAAAGGCCCTCTGGGTCTCTTCCTGCACTCAAAAGCTCACTCCCTGGAGTGTATGCAACCTGACGGAGGTGGGAGGAGGGAAGCCTATATCTGGGAGCAGCAGGGATGCTTAGCTATCTGTCAAAGCCTCATGATCCTCTCCACAGTGCACAGTTGTTGCTGGGAAGTCACTGCCCATCCTGTAACTACAGTTCCAGGCCCCCGATTCCCAGAGAAGGCCATGAGACTGAGCTCTAACCAGTGGAATGTGGTGTAAGTGATACATGCTACTTTCAGGCCAAGCTCATAAAAACTTCCCTGGCCACCATCTGCTCTCTCCAACTGGAAGTCAACACCCAAGGTGAACTTAGAAGCCATTCATTGAAGATGACAGATCCTCCATCAGCCTGCCTTATACATCTATGTAGAGCAGAGGCCCCTCTATCCCCTCCAATGCCAACTGGACTTTATGTGAGCAAGAAATAAACCTGTATGAAGCACTGATATTTTGGAGTTTATTTTTATAACTAATGTCATCTTAATTTATGCAGGAGATGATGGGGAACTTGGCTCCCATAGAAATTCTCCCGATAGCTCAGGTCCAGGGCATCTTCCCACCCACCCACCCAACCACCCCATGTACCATGTCACCTCCTCTTCCCCTACATATTGGATTCCTACACAGGCAAAGGCAAAGGGAGCCTCTGGTGAGCTCAGAAAGGAGGGCATCTGTGGGAGAATCAGGCTGAGCACAAACCCTGAGTCAGGGCTCTGTCCTTCCTCCCAGAATCTATGTCCTCTTCTGGGCAATGACAACAACATTCTAGGCCAAAGGAGGAACAGATGCCAGCTAGAAGGATTACCCTGAAGGTGATCCATGCTTGTTTTTTTGTTTTGTTTTAGACGGAGTCTCACTGTCACCCAGGCTGGAGTGCAGTGGCGTGATCTTGGCTCACTGCAACCTCTGCCTCCCGGGTTCAAGTGATTCTCTGCCTCAGTCTCCCAAGTAGCTGGAACTACAGGTACGTTCCACCATGCCTGGCTAATTTTTTGTATTTTTAGTAGAGACAGAGTTTCATCATGTTACCCAGGATGGTCTCGATCTCCTGACCTTGTGACCTGCCCGCCTCGGCCTCCTAAAGTGCTGGAATTACAGGTGTGAGCCACCATGCCCAGCCCATGCTTGGTTTTAGTGTCTCTAAAAATCACACAATCTCAGGACTCAAAGAGACCTTCAACGCCATCTACTCCACACTTCCACCCAAATTGTGAATTCCTTCTGCAATCAGCAAGGGTGGTTTGGCCTTCCCATGTATACCTCCTGATGAAGAACCCCTCACTTCCCCAGCCAGCACATCTCACCTGTGGACAGCTCTACCAGCAAAATCTCCCTCACATTAAGCCTGGGGTGCCCCTCCAACTTCTACTCACAGGGCTCAGTACTGCCACTCCTGGGGGCCTCACGAAACAAGTCTCATCCCTACCCAACGCAGCAGCCCTCCACAGAGGGTGTTTGAACATTGTCCTCAGCAGACAGGCTCCCCAAGGGAAGAGAAGGGTTTCACTGTCCCTCCCAGAGAAGGGACAGTGCCTGACTTCATAGGAGCACAACATATGTAAGATACAGATGAACAAAGGGTGAACAGTGGGAGAAATGGGCAAGTAGACCAGTGAAGGCCGAGATCTCCTGAAACTCTAGTTCTCTCTGCACAATATCCCCAAGGTACCAGAAAACACAACAGAATACAATACCGTACAATACAATATAAACAGGACACAAGAGGAACAATGCTGCCGTTTGCTGAGAGTCCACCTGTGTCAAGCATCCTGCTAACCACTTAGCACAGATGTCTCCTACCTTTACCACTACCCGATAAGAAAGAGTAACTCCCAGCCGGGCGCAGTGGCTCACACCTGTAATTCCAGCACTATGGAAGGCCAAGGTGGGTGGATCACCTAAGGTCCGGAGTTTGAGGCCAGCCTGACCAACATGGAAAAACCCCATCTCGACAAAAATTCAAAATTAGCTGGGCATAGTGGCTCATGCCTGTAATCTCACCTACTGGGGAGGCTGAGGCAGGAGAATTGCTCAAACCCAGGAGGTGGAGGTTGCAGTGAGCTTAGATTTTGCCATTGCACTCCAGCCTGGGCAACAAGAGTGAAATTCTGTCTCAAAAAAAAAAGAAAGAAAGACAGAAAGATGAAAGAAAGAAAGAAAAGAAAAGAAAGAGAAAGGGAAAGAAAGAAAAGAAAAAGAAAAAGAAAGAAAGGAAAGAAAAAGAAGAGAAAGAAAGAAAGAAAGAAAGGAAGAAAGAAGGAAAGAAAGAAAAGGAAGGAAGGAAGAAGGAAAGAAAGAAAGGAAGAAAGAAGGAAAGAAAGAAAGAAAGGAAGAAAGAAGAAGAAAGAGAAAGAAAGGAAAGAAAGAAGGAAAGAAGGAAGAAAGAAAGGAAGAAAAGAAAGAAGAAAGGAAGAAAGAAAGAAGGAAAGAAAGAAAGAAAGGAAGAAAGAAGGAAAGAAAGGAAGAAAGAAGGAAAGAAAGAAAGAAAAAAAGGAAGGAAGGAAGGAAGGAAGGAAGGAAGGAAGGAAGGAAGGAAGGAAAGAAAGGAAGGAAGGAAAGGAAGAGTAACTCCTCCTATGAGCACAAAACCCAGGTGGTCCAGTCTCAGCGCCATAGCGCCAGTCAAAGAACCTCAATCCCGCCACCAAAAGGAACGTTTTAAATAACTCAAGTTTCTGCTTTTGTTTTTGTAATCCTGAAGGGGTCCAAATGAGCAGATGAAAGTGACATGCACTGACACACTATGAGGCCTGTGCCTCCCGCATACCCCCAACACTGCCTGCTCTTCTCCAGCCCTGCCCAGCTCCACCCTCCTCTCCTCTGGGGAATGTTCTCTAGCATTCGTTTTCCCCTCTTTTGCATTAGGAAACAGCAACATTTGGGCACGGGGGAAGCAGAGAAGGTGGGAAAAACTGCAGGCAAGACAGGCATCCTCTTTGGTGATTTGTGGGAAGGAGCTACTGATGGGAAATTAATTCGTTTGTAATTTTTGCCCTGAAGAGGTATGATCTCCATGTTATTACCTGAGAAAAAAGTCAAAGCAGTCAGGTGACTTGTACAAGGTCACTCAGCCGGCAAGAGGCATCAGCCAGGGCTTGAATTCCAAAGTTACTGCTCACCAAACCACTTGGGATCCCTTCCAGAAAGCCAGGCAGCACCTGAAAGGCGGTATGTGTAGAACTCCCACTGTGTGGCGGGCACTGTGATGGAAACACGGGGGCTGTGGAATCGGTCCCGCTGCTCCCTTGCCAGCTCTGTGAAAGCGACTTCACCCTCATGGGCCTCAATTTCCTCTTCTATGAAATGGAAGAATAACTCCCTCGCTGCCAGGTTGATAAGACTGAAAGGAAATGATGAGGTTGAAGAGCTTTTAACAAACACTGGGAGAAATGCCTGATGTAGGTGATGTGGTGGGTGGGGATGGAGACAGCAAACCACCATGGCGTGTGTGCACCTATGCAACAATCCTGCAAGATCTGCACATGTACCTCAGAACTTAAAGTACAATAAAATAAACTTCCTACATGGGTGAGAAAAAAATAAAGAGCTTTTAACTATGAAAGGGGATTAGACAAGATACAAACCATCAGACCAGAAGAAGCTCAGATCCCAGGGAAGCCAGGATTTGCCTGATCTGCCTGGGTCAGATTGCCCTCAGCTAAGCAGGGATTCCTTGTAGGAGGTAGGGCCTTTGCAGGGCTTCAGAGTGTCCCTGTGCAGAGCTTAAGCAAAGGTCCACGATGCCAGAAAGCGGAAGGGAATTCATCGTGGGCCTTGGGTGCAGGAATACCTATTGCTCAGGGAGGACTACCGTGTGCTTGGCACTTCTCAGTCACTGGGTGCATGGAATAAGCTCATTCTCAGATGAAGACACTGAGGCTGAGCTGCTGGACAGTCACTTTTCCAGAGCACAGAGGTGGTCAATGGCAGAGCCACAGATCTGTCTGACTGCCCCCAGGAGGAGGTTTCTGAGAGGGGAGCACCCAGGCACTGCCCTTACCATCCTCTCTTTGTGGCTACAGCAGAATGGATGCTGCTGTAGCCCCAGGGCCTGCCAACTTCCTCCAAGAGGAAATGGGGATGAGGAAGAGACAACAGCTATTTATTTGAAGGCACCAACGCTGTTTTGCCTTTAGTCAGATTCTGCCAGCCTCTGAAGCAGGAGACAGCAGGTAGGAAGAGGAGAAAGGGCAGAGCAGAGACCTTCCCTGGGAAGACTTTCCCTCTTCACATGAAGAAAGAGGTTGCCTGAACCTCCTTCTGAGCCCCCAACCTCGCCTTCCAATCCCTGTGCCAGGAGGGAGGGCGTACACTCATAAAGATGTGCACTGTCCACACAAGTGCCTACCCGTGCTACCATGCTACAGGCCATTGGTTTGCACTTCTCATTCTGTGGCCTACTAGCTTAACCTTCCAAGACTCTCTCACCATTTATTTTTCTTGTCTTGTAAGGAGGAGATCATTGTCTACCTTACAGATTGCTGTGAGGACCAGTGAGATCTGTGGGTAGGTAAAGCACTTAGCCCTGGCTGGTAGTAAGTAGACAGAAGGTACTTTAGTAGTAAGAGGCCTGTGAGAATGTGAATGTGCAAGCACTACACTTTAAGTCCTGTGTGTGCACACGCTTCTGTGTGTTCATAAGGGGGCAAGCAGCGGATGGGAGCGGGATCTGTGACTCTATTTCATTCTATCATGTGGAACAAGTAGAGGGACATTTTTTTCCGTGTGCATCCACAGTAGAACTATAAGACTCCCCAGTATCCAGCTCAGCACTGCACAACAGCAGGACTGGCTGCCTCAGGGGGTGAACACCTTGTCCTTGGAGGCATTCAAGCAGAGGTTCAATAAATACTTGCATTTCCACAACACTCTGGAGTTTACAAGGTGCTTCACCCACAGTACTTGTCCTAGGTTATTTCATTCACCCCCTCAGTGTGTGGTATTTTCTGATCCATTATACAAATAAGGAAACTGAGGCCCAGGGAGAGGATCATTTCCCAAAGATACTCCACTAGTGCCTGGGAAGTCAGAACTTGAGCCCAGGTCTTTTGGAGGCATGATATAAAGTCTTGAAGCCAGCCTAACGTAACAGGTAATCCATGAGAGCCCCAGCTCCACTCCCGACTTTTGCCACTTCCCAGGCCTAGGTGCCTAAGCTGTGCCAACAGTGGCCCTACAGGGGGATGGGTCACTAGGAGAGAGAGCAGTGGAGCCTATGATCTCAGTCTCCAAGGCCCATTGGGTAGGCGCTGGCTTTTCATGGGGAACCCCAGGAGACCATTTTGTGCTCCAACCCAGGGCACCATCTCAAGCCTGCCAGCCCCAGGGCCTAAACTTTCCACTTCGCTCTCTCCCTGCCACACACAACTGGCCATGAAGAGGAACACAATGCCCCGGCCAGCATTTTCCTTGCCATCTGTCATGTCCTCTGTGTCGAAGACTTCTGCT